CAATTGATGGTAATCGATATTAATTACTTCATTGATATTGATTGATATTGTTTAAGCGATGACCAATTGATAGTCACAAAAAGTTATGGCCAATTTTACAGATATATTCATCGATTTTCGTCGATATTTATCAACAAAATGCTTTCGATTTTTATCGATGTATAAAAAGTCGTCGCGTGTCGGCGTGTTCGAGCTAAATAGTAAATCTGTTCCCATTTTTTGAAGGTACACATGTATTTGATCTGTATAGCCAGATAAAAACTTAATTTAATCCATTGTTACAGAATTCCGTTCACATTTGCTGTGTTACGACATTAAAGTACGTATTAATTAAATGACGGCGTTACCTGTTCGATTGCATGCATATTAACCCATTGGGCAGCAATGCGCCCCAGTGCGTCCTACTTATTTTCTTTACTTGTCTAACGCCAGACGATTTTGCTCATCAATGGGGAAGCTCTGCAGCTTAATGGGTTAACCAAAAATCTCACAATGTCTCCAATTAACCCACTGAGCCGCAATACTTGTCTAACGCATTGCATTGCGCTGTGAATATCAGGTTGGTATTTTCCGGATGATGGATTATTCAAAAATTTGTGTTTATTTTATTTGTTAATAATAGTTACAAAACGTTTAGGATCCTTGCAGCTCCTGTATATTTTTGTAAAGCGAGAACACGTGTTGCAAATTTGCAATTAGAAAGCTGATTTATCCTCCATAAACGTTTCGGCGAACAGAGTGGCGTCATTTTATTCTTGCGCATACTTTGGTCCGAGGCTTTGGTCAGAGCGTACCATAAACACACGACTTTAACAGTGCAAGTTAGCATTTACAAATCCTTTAATTTGGCTAATACTGGTAATAAAGCTCCGAAATCATTCGCTTCTCTGTATAAAACAGAACATTGCATAGTGCATACAGTTTAGTTACGATACGAACTATAGCTACGAACTATTAAATCTCTATCATTCTTGTCATGGTTAAATGCATAATGCAACGAAACACTTACCTTTCCATTGTAGGGAAACGACAACCAATAGCACAAAATGAAAACATTTTGGAAACATCTTCTTTAATCGACGAAACCGACTTCGAACTGTTTGACACAAGATGCAAGCATTTCACGCTATCAAAGAGGAAGACGAAATGAATCAGTGTAGCGAAGCCAATTCAATTTAACATTTGCAGTAACTCGGCATGACGTTTCATATGGACTGTGGTCCTTTTGTATTTGAACAAACAGAAAATATTTTAAAATCTTGCCAAGGTTTTTAATTGATATGTTTGTATCTCTAGACAACTGTTCTCACAATCAAATTTTCGATTTCAGATTCCCTTTAAATTCCTTAAATTGGTAAAATTACTACAATGCCTTAAATCAGAGGCCTTAAATTAAATACTGTATATATATATTTATAAAAACGTATTTTCCATGCATTTACACGAATAAACTATTAATATTGTTGTGTTTTTAAAAGTTTCCACATCACACATCTAGTCTCTCTCCTCCAGAGATTTCCAACCTGATCAAAATTTCGAAAAAAGTTGCTCAAAAAATCATAAAAATTGCTCGAAAAATGCTCTTGTCCAGTCTAGTCCAGTCCTCATAGTCAAAAATACTAAGTCATTATAGATTTTTGCAGATTAACTATGTATGGATACAACATTAAATTCCAGTTTCCTTCTCATCTGCGTCCACATTTTGTATATCTGGATTTACATGACCATAGAAATGATCATCATTATCTTCCCCGGGGCTTTTGCCCACATCATCATCATCATCAATATGCTGCGAATGATCATCATTA